TATAAATTTAATTTTTTTTTTACTTTTCTGCGGATTAAAATTGGCAGGAAAATGCACAAGAAAAGTTACCTGCAAAATTTTTCTACCATTTAGTAAACATTACTTGTGAATTTATTTTTACAAGAAAATCTATAAGAAATAAAATAAAATTCTTAATTTTCTGCAAATTTTTAACATGAAATATTTTTTTATAATAATTAAAATTGTAGCAAAATTTGTAAAAATTTATTGTAAATTATTTTTCATAAAAAAATTTATAAGAAATATCTGTAAATTATTTTTTGCAAATAAATTCGTAAATTTTTTTTTTGAAATTAATATTGTAAAAAAATTCGCAAAAAATTTCTGCAAATATTTTTTTTTAGAAAAATTCGTAAGAAAATAATATTTTTCTAGTACTAGTCGTCGAAATCTTAATAGAATCTCACAAATTTGAGTTGTCACTCCTTTAGCTAATTTTTCATCAACACTTTGCAGTAGAGCATGATAAATGGTTGTGCTCTTCATTACTCGACATTCTTGTATTCTTTCCTTGACTTGAGGGTTCTGCCACTTCAATGATATCTTGGGTTGCATTCCAGATTTCTTACTTTAGAAAAAAAAAAATGATGACTAACTAAAAATACTATAAATAATTTTGAAGACAATGAAACATTTAACTTACCAATATGAGAATCAAAGCCTACCGCTTCTGAATCAACTCTTATTCAAGTTTATACACGTTCAACGTTAAAATGATAAAAGGAATAAGTACCATATTCGTCACAATACACTTTTGAAGTTGTGTAGTATCGTTTTCGTTAACATATTCTTCATATACGTTTGGAAAAACTAAGTTGTCACATAGAGAGAAATAGCACTACATATATTTAATTACGAAAAGAGAAACGTGGAATGGGAGAAGTGAATTGTTTTGTAACAAGACATGCACAATAAGAAAAATTCATAATTTTATTAAAAAAAAAACAAATAATTGATCTTGTTAAAATATAAATAAAGTCTTATATTATTTAACAAAAAAAAAATATTAGAGTGTATTTAAACTAAATTATATTTTAGTATTGTAAAATTGTGTGTGTAAATATATATTTCAATAAAAATAATAAGATATAATCATTCTTTGGATAAATATATCCCCTCAAATAAGTGAAGTTGGGGAAGTGAGGTCCAGCTTTAGGCATGAAATGAGAGGTGTCTTTAATCCACTCCTATGAGGAATAATGGTGAAAGAGATAAGACAACTGCATTCCTAGAGAACAAAGGGCCTGGACCTCTTGCAGATTTAGGGTCCACGAAATCAGCCCTCTGAATGGAGGCGCACAGAACCGGGGACCAATTTTATTATGGCCACGGATCAGTACTACTGCAACGCAATTTCAGTCTTGCTGAGCCTGAGAATTTCAATTGGCTTGATTCAGCCTCACCATTGCTGCAATCAAGACGGGTCACTATCCCCTCTCAACTCCATCCAGTGGTCCACTATCTTATTAGACTTATACAACCCCTTTTCTTTTAATTTAATCTTCATCATCATGGTCCTTCTCAACTTCATTACGAGTATACGTTTCAGACCCCATAATCACACGTTCAGATCCAACATGGCTAAATCTTAACTATATATTCCACTCTGCCTCTCAAACTCAATTTATTATATGGGCCTCAAAAGGCATTCCAATTTAATTCTTCAAGTTTTTATATAAGTTGACAAGTCTACTAAAAATCTTCTACATAAGGCAAACTAATGATGGCCAACAAACATATAAAACCGTAAAGAATGTGGAGATGCAAAGAGAAATAGGAAGAAATAAGAAAGTTAGAGTTGGACATGTGAAATTGGTCACAAACAACACTTCGCAATCATGGCTCCGTTGAGTTGGGCATGTCCTCATTTTCCTGTCATCTAAGGTGCTTTATTAGTTTAATGGGTAAAAATCTCACGTGCCATAGACACATGGCATCAGCATAACCATTCTCTTCGAATAGTGGAAATGAGAATGCTTAAAAAGTGAAGTTGAGTTCATGAACTCGAGCCATATATATACGACTCATTTTTATGATTAATTTACAGAACTTGCGTTTCAGAAACTTAAAAATATCGTGGGAATATTCCTTCTTCCACAACTGTCTTCTATTTTGATTCTTTTGAATATGATACACATTTTTTTTTTTTTACTAGTGGAACGTGCATTAGTTAGACTTTGCATCATGAGATTCTGTAGCCACTTATTGGGAAAACATTGAAAAGAAAATTCGAAATTGCTTGTTTCATTGAGCACTACATATGTTGATCATCATGCGTTTTTATTCCAACAACAGGAAATGTTCTAAATCTTTATATATACTGATATAGTCAATTATACCAACAAATTAACTACACAGTCCACTTTGTCTGCCGTTAGACTATGAACTCCGAAATCATTAGGGGACATAAAATATTGATAAACATATGTAAGCACTACCCCTGATAATATATGACTTATGTAACACACTTTCTAATACATTTTTTTAAATATATTTCTTTTAATTGATTAAAAATTTAAAAAAATACAAAATTTGATGAGTCTTACATTTTATATAATAATTCTTTCTTAATTTTATAATTTTTAATAAATTTTAGTCAAGAAAAATACATAATAAATAATGAACTGTTAATACTTCTCTTAAAATATTTGTTAGGAGGGATAAGCCTTTAAATTAATTTTAGTCTAAAAAATTTAGTCTATAATTTTTGTTTAAAAGATATCTTGCTTTTACTTAAAATAAAACATTTCATTAAATAATTCTATATAATATATTAGAAATGCATTAAAAAAATTTAGTCTATCCATAATATATTTTACATTTATTATTTTCATTGTTAAATATTTATTCACTCTTAAATTTAAATGTGAAAGAATTCAATAGTTAAAATAAAAATTAATTTACTTATCCCTTATTTTTAAGTGATGTAAATCCAAAAGTTTGTTCTCTTATTTATTCATAAAACTCAATCCGCGTTGACTTTGAAGCACTATTGACAAATGACAACTAAATCAGAAATGTAGATTAAGATTTGAGTGGAAATTATATTAGAAATGTAGAGGTAATTAATGCAGACAAAATCAGTACTACGTCTTGACTAAGAGACATGCAATTAGGTAAGTGGTAAAGAGTAAAACTTACAGGTGCCTAATTTATGGGGCCCGTGATATCAATGCTTCAAAATAATGATATGTTACTGTCACTTTCTGCCAAGTGTAATGTATATCAGTGATCACGATCCCAGCATTTTCTATGTGGTCAAAGCACCAAGAATAGACGATCCCTGGAAACAACAAAGTTGGGTCATTGCTATTTTTACCACTTCGCAATTTTGATGAAAACCTATAAACCTTGACATCATGATACTTGTTCAACAACAAAATGAAACCAAAGCTTGAGTTCGTGTCCACTTAAACGTTGTGGCGATCAAGGTCGGTCCACTCCTCGCGTTTCATGTGTCTTTCAATCTGCGGCGCACTTGTCTATTGTGCATCCACTAATTAATACCACTGCTGATTCAGTTTAATACCAATCTCCCATGTTTACTAACAAACAAATAATAATTCAAATGCTTAGCACTAAAAATATCTGTAATTTTGGAACATTATTGCTTACGTATCACTCTACTGAAAATAAGTAATTAACTATAACCTTCATATATAGCTTTACGAACTTACGATCATCTCTGTATCGGCACCAACATTTAACCGCTGATAGCAACCAAAAACTGATAAATTAACATGTCCATGTGATCAGCTACGGTACAGTCATGTCACATTATCATGTTATTGTTTTTAAACATATATTCACTATTTTCAGCGAAGTCTTTTTTTAATTATATTTTTTTATTTATAAACAATACTTTTTCTTAAGAGATTTTGAATTCAATATTACTTGGATCAAGACACCTTGCTTCTTTAATAGCAATGAGCTAGAATGAATCTAATACTCTAATGTGTAATGATGTCTCTGAATTAGAGGAATTTTATGTGGGGAAATGTGAATATTGAATTATGATTATTAAATTAAATCATTTAAAGATAAAATTACGTGACTTCTTTTAAGTAATATTGTAATTACTAAATACTAAATAATTTTAAATATTTACTATTTATATATAATTGTATAGCTTTTTTTAATCTTTATTATTTATATATTAACTTATATATTGGAGTACTATGATGCATTGATGCTACTATATAAATGTTAATTCATAACTGATTTGTTCGATTTGGGCTATTAGCACATGCCTTTCATAGGTCTTTGAACTGAACTCATACTACTTTGACTAAATTCGCTCTTAGTCAGACAAGTGGAGGGAAATTGCCTACAATGAGCACTACAATAATACTCGATTTAGTTTAGGTTAGAGATAAAAGTCGTACATAATGTGTAGATAATGTTTCATTGTTTTAACTTTTCACGATATGAATGATAAGATCATTGAAATAACGCAATTATTTTTTGGTGAGAGAATCAATCTTATCCGGTTATCCCCGATTATCAGAGGCTTTTAAACCTATGCTATTTGTTGGGCATGGACCTTTCTGAACCTGGTTACCCTACCCAGCCCAAGTTAAGTCTGAAATACTAGTATCCTAAATTAATAACTTATTTATTCAATACCCTACTAAATTAATTTATTCGATATTCAGTGAATAAAATATTTATTGAGGAATCAAAAATTCAAAATGTAAAATAAAAAATAAAAATAGTAATAATATATTTACCCCCTATATCCTATCATGATTTTTAATATATTCCTAATAGAAACTTCCAATATTATTAGCTCCTTATCCAATGTTCTAACAACATCCTTTTAAAAATGTCATTAGGTATACATCCAAATAGACTGGAGAGGATTTCCAATATGTGCAAGGTTTAGTTCTTTTAACCATCAATCCAAAGAACTCCAAATCGCATTAATTAGTTAATTAACTAAATTCATACACGTGCAGGGGGGACAAAGGTGATCATTATTTCTAGCAACTCTTGTTTTCAGTTGTAATGGGGATTCACATATGCATAGCATCAGCCAGAGTCACAAATTTTTGCACTACTATAGTACTATTTAATGTAGACACCAAATCATGGTTCAGAACAAATACTCGACCACGGACAACCTTGAAGAACTAGGCCACGACACTTGGAGCCTCACTGTGTTATCAACGTAATCAAATTCCACATGCTCTCCATCAATCTTACAACACTCTGGCTTCTCTGATGCATATACCCTCATTTCCCCATGTCCTCTCACCTCAATTCTTGCCAAATTTTCATGTGTATCATATTCTATTGACAGAATTGATCCCCCAGAGTTGAGCATGCTCACCAATCCAATTGGAGCAAATTGGATGGATTTTCTGGGCAAGACCATCACTGGAGAAACTGTCAAAAGCTCAAAACTAAAAGGCTCAAGTGAAACTTGTACACTTTCTGTGTACTTGAGGAGCTTCAACGTGTCATCCTTAAGCATGTACACAGCAAATTCATCTACCCCTTTGATGCAAATTGGGTGCTTCCCTTTGCTCCACTCAATGTCTTGGGGACTTGCAAAGCAAGTCACAGAGTGTGAAAACTCAGAGGCACTCTTGTTTCGCCTAGCAACAGGGCACCACCCTCCTCCTTGGCAATTGAACAGACCCAAAACCCCGGAACACTAGAAAAAGAAACACAAAAATGAGAGTAATAGCATGTAACTATGCATGCACATTGTTGTGAAACTGAAAACAATAATATGAAAAGGCATGCAGAGAGGCTATTTTGAGTCTTACTTTATTGAGGTTCCAAATTTTGAGCATTGTTTTGCCGTCATGCAAAGGGTCCAGAAATAAGCAGTCTCGGGTTGGAAGTGCATAATGTTGACAGCGCAAAATGGAGGCATCAGGTAGAACGAGCTTCTTAAGCAACTTGAAGTTGTGTTTTCCAACAGAGTCGCTTACGTAAATTGGTCCACCAGAAATGGCCCTGGAAGCAGCGTGAAATTCGGCACAAGCATGATCAGATTGGAACATGTCCCAATCTGGGTGTATGAAATTTCCCATCCACAAGCTGTTGTAAGCACAGTGCACCATATGACACCCTTGCAGCCAATAGGCACCGTTTGGATCTCCAGCTGGGTCAGTGCACCAAAAATCATCACCTGCATCAATGTATATATCAACAACACACAATTAAGGAATATAAGCATTGTGTTGTGTGTGTTATAAAAGTTTTCCATTAATTTATACGTCCAAGCGATTTAATTAAAGACTTACCCACTCGTCCAAGTGATATGGTTTCCGTACCAAGGAACATGAAATCATTGCACTGCTGCATGCTTGAAATGACACCATTGCCTTTGAAATGCTTCTTCACGGAAGCAGTGAGTGCTTTGTAATATGCTTTGGCCATTTCAACACGACCACCATAATCCTCTGATACCATCTCAAGAATCTACCGTATATATGCAAAAGTACAGGTTAGTGGTTACTACTTTCAGTCTCAATTGATGACTATTTCTGACTCTTACTACAACAAAAATAGTAATATGTGGACATCCATATATTACAAGTCAAATGATTCATAAACACCTCTGTATTTTAGGCTTAAAAAAGGGAAAGAAAAAAAATATATAAATGTTATGAGTAAATGCAATATGAAAAAGGTATGGAAAGATATATGATTCGATCCGACTTAGGTTGGATTGATGGATTTAGTTAATTTGACAAATAGATGAATTCGAAACAATCATATTAGATACTGAGTTCGAAAATTTTACACTCGACTTTGCCATATTAAAAATACTTTATGTTTAATGACTCTTAATCTTCAATTTTATTTACTTATTTAAAATCTAAATTTTGAAATTACTGATTTTATTTAATTTTTACCACTTTATTGAGTTTTTTTACAATTTTTTTTTATACATACTTTTAATCGAGCTTAATAAGGTTATATTGTATAAAATAATTACATTATCAACTAATTAAAAATCATATTTAATATAATTGTTAAATTAATAAATATAAAAGTCAACAAATTTATTTTATATGTGTTAATTTGTAATTAAATAATATATAAAAAAAATAAGTGAGTTCAGTAGTGATGCACTGATAATGTAATTAAAATTCTTTTTTTAATCTTTCATTCGTGGCATAAGGACGACATGTGATACATTCTCATAAACAAAAACATTAAAACAAATATATTTTAGAAATTAAAAATAAACATTATCTTATTTACAGAAACTAAAAGTTTTAAATATATTTTCTTGATCAATGATGATCCAACTTAACAATTAATGATGATCCAACTTAATTGGATTATGATTCGGCTGACACCTAATATAACCGGCCAATTACCACTAGTGAAAAATTTGACGAATCACTATGGCTTGTGATGGATAAATTAATTGAAATTAAAAATATGTTACTGTTCCTTTGCGAAATTCCCCACCAGATCCCTCATATAAAGGGCACACTATTATATAGCATATATTTGAAAACTTGAAGCATTGTAGCAGCATCTTACATTCAGTTATGATATTTTAAAAGCAGCAAATTGATGATATTTATATGGTAATTGTTACATAGTAGATTAATAGTTACCTGCGTGACATCAATCTTGACACCGTCAACACCGAGGGATTCCAAGTGAGAGTGGAGTCCCTGGTAGAGCTGATGGGGTGGCACCAATCCCACGCCAATCTCCATTATCTTCACCACCGCTAGATCCGTCATAGTCATCTCCGCCCCGGGAGACAACTTAGTCGCAACCACCGTGGCCTCCGGCATCCCGGGCACATTGGGCCTAAGCCCACCCCAGTAGCCAGAAAAGGCATGCCAAACATAGACATAGTCCAGCCCACTAAACTCCCCCTTCAAGTCCCTCACAAACGCACCCATCCCATTGCTCCCATCACACCCCCTGTACTCCTTAAACTTACTATTATCCTCAAACCTCACCAACCTCTTCACCATCTGCTCCCCCGGAACGGAACACTCCAAGCTTCCACCGTCCGTCACCGTTTCATCGTCACCGCAAAACGTTTGCCACCCGTCGTCGATGATCACCAACCCTGGAGGACACCCTCCCTCCACCAAACCCTTCACCCCTTCCCGCACCCCTGAGGGATCCACCTGATGAGATATAAACTTAGATTATCATTGTGAAAAATATACTCTTACACAAATATAATAAATAAACTCATCACATCACATCACCACCTTTAGGTAAAAGGCGTCCCAGGTGCACCACCCGAACTTGTCAACTATCCCCGGCGGGGTCTTGTCCTCCATCAAAGTAAAGGTTCCCAGATGGGCCTTCACCACCCTCACCGCTTCCTCGATTAGAGTAAAGGGGTCGTGGTGCACGTGCATGTACAAGCAGCTTCCGAAGGAACCCTCCGTCACACGTCTGGATCCGCTCTCCATGCAGACGTCCACGTGGTCGTCGAGGCCCGCTTGGAGGGAGCCTCGGAAGGGTCCCTCGAGGAGGGGCAAGAGGAGGACGTAGGGGCGTCCCCTCACGGCGTCGTTCTGGAGGATCATCATTTGGGTTTCGTGCTCCACGTCTCGGCCGTTGCTACCGGACCAGTGGGTGCTCCACCACAGCTTGAAGCGGAAGATGCTGGTGAACCTGATGCCGCCAAGCTTGCCGATGGAGGCCACGTGGCGGCTTCGGGCCTCGGCGGCGGTGAAACCGAGGAAGCAGCCGTGGGGGTGGAGGTGGGGGTGGGAGGTTGTTATGTTGGGTGGGACTTGGGTGAGGATTGGGTGGCCGCTTGCGAGGAACGTTGAGGATTCGAGTTTTATGGATAAGTGGGGATTGGCGTTGGGAGGAGCCGTTTCTTGCACTGTGGTTAGGCTTGGCGCCATGGGAGAACAAGAGTTTGGGCAATGGGAATTAGGAACTAACTCTTCCACTTCATTTCATAGTAAACGTAGGAACATGTGCACTTAAATATGCCATTCAAATCCAAACCAGCTCTCATTTTCACTCATGGATCTTCATTTTCATTTACAGTAAATTACACTCTCACAATATTATTTCCCAATACTAATGAGACATGAACAAATTTTAACTATAATGCTTTATCATAGTATAATGAAATGATACTGTATTAACCAGTAACATCCACATTAACTAATCCAAAATACGAATAAATTTCAAAACAATTTATTCTTATAATAAGCTTGTATAATAAACCTAGTTAGGTAAAAAAGAAAAGAAAAACGTCAAAAAGGCTCGGAACACCAACGGATTACTGTGTTGGAACTTGGGAGTAAATAATAATAATAATAACACGTTCAAAAAATTAGTTAAAATGCTATCTTAGAAAAATCATATTAAATGAGGATATTTATAAGAACTATTTAAAATGAGGAGGGTTCAAATGATATTAGTGTAATTTTACTAAATGTTACACCATTCAATAATTTTATTAATTGTGAATTTTATAAATTCAACCATTAAATTGAAAGTTCTTTACTCTTAGATTATATATACAAAATTTTATATTGATTCAGGATTATTTGATATTATAGTAAAATATAAACACTTTGATTACATTTAAGTTTGTTGTTCAATTTTAACAAAATTTGATATACACATATAAAGTGATATGAATTTTCAATCTAACTGTTGTATTTACAAAAATCACAATTAATATAAAGTTATTGAGTATTGTAACACTTAGTAAAAGTTATATAAATGTTGTTTGAACTCTCCTCATTTAAAATATACATATATATATATATATAT